ATTCCATTCCACTAATACCAAAGTTAGTTATTTAAATATATCCTTAAGTATACTATGTATTTGGCATGATAAGGATTGATACATAATACTTACTAATGAGAATTAGAATATCTTCTCTACTGTATTTTTTACCTCAATACTATTTTTGACAATGAAAATGAAATAGTATCTACAAGAAACTTGAAAGCTAAGCCGTATTATATGTGTAACCTGTATTCCTGGTTTTCTCTTTACTTTTTATCTCGATAGTCAAGTTAAATCAGCATTAAGATACCTAAAATCTGTTGCAGGTTTTTACAAGATAAATGATTAGGACAAATTAGAGTTACTCTTCACCATTATTGTATCGTAAACCAATATATTCTAAACCTGCACCAGATGGTCACTACTGACCACTTACCAAGTGGCAAGGCCAAATACAGGTGCACGTCAAGTATAAAGCAAACTTCTAGGGCTTTGTTCTAAAAAAGAATGCAAACTACCTCATTTTTTTATATTTTTATATTACTTTTTTATATTATTTACATATTTTTTATATTATTTACATGTTGAGATATGCTTTGAATATATTAAGTTATATAAAATATGCTATCAAAAATTAACTTCAGCTCTTTTTTTACTTTTTAAAATGTGGCTTCTAGAAAATTTACCTAACACATGTAATTTGCATTCTGTTTTTATTGAATGGTGCTAGTCTAAATCCTTCACTTCCTCTTTCTTTCTTTCTTTCTTTCTTTCTTTCTTTCTTCCTTTCTTTCTTCTGATTTTCCACAATAGTGTGGACTATGAAATGGACTAGACTGACGTCAGAAAAATAGGAGGGATTGGCACTGATTTCAGAAAAAGTGCGCATAGGCAATGCAATTTCCATCTGGAGGCATATTAATGGCTTCCAAGTTTGGCTTTTATTGTAAAAATTACTGCTGATGTTTTCTGACCATGCATGTTATAAGGTTTCTCTCCTTAAGGTTCTTATTCCAGGTCAAGGGGAAGTTTCCAGGGTTTGTGTTTTAACAAGAGCCTCAAGTAACTTTTCTGACCAGGAAAATTGGGAACCCATGAGTGGAAGGAAATACAAACACAAAGGTTTATGGGTTGATTTGAAAGTTAAATGTCATTACTATATAACATATGTTTCCTTGCACTGACAACATCTATAAACAATTAGGCATGTGTGGTTTGGAAGAAGAAATTCTAGAATGACATTGTGCCCTTTTCCCCTATAAAAAATATCACTGGTTTTATGTATACTTTTATTATGATCTCACTTAACCATAAAACAAACTCTCTCTAGACCATGTAGTTTCCTTTGGTTCTGATTAACTAGAATAAAATAGTAGTATCATATCTAACAGAGGAAGTAGATTTTAAAACTAAAATGGGTGGTACAGAGCACTTGGAAAATAGAATTCTTGGAGGGGATTGCTGGTGATCCTGATAATATTTTAGAAAGGGAGTGAGCAAGAGTCGTGATAAAATGGTGTTGGAGTCTATATCAGCATGAGAATTATTGTATACCTATGTCATAACATTCTCATTTCTGATAATGCAAAATTTAATATAATAAAATTAAAAATGGAAGTAAGGAAGAGAATGGGAGGAAGGAAGGAAGAGCATGGAAGGAAGGATGGAGGGAAGGAAGGAAGGGAGGGAGAGAGGAAAGGAGGAAAGAAGGGAGGAAGGGAGGGAGGGAGGAAGGAGGAAGGGAGGGAGGAAGGAAGGAGACAAGAAAAGAAGAAGGAAGGAAGGAAGGAAGGAAGGAAGGAAGGAAGGAAGGAAGGAGAGAAGAAAGGAAAGAAGGCAGGGAAGCCCCACTTAAGTAACAGGCAAATAAGCATATCAATTGTGTAGGGCAAATGAGAATAAGGGTGTATGCAACACTGTTTATTAAAATACTGTTTATTTATAGACATTGTATTTTTACTGTTCCCAAACCATATTGAAAGTGACCTCTTCCAGATTCCCATCATCTGGTCAATGGAGGTAAGTAGAAAGAATATGTAGCAGGCATTTCACCCAGATGCTAATTATCCAGGGGGAAGCGTTTCATTTTCTGTGAGATCTCATGCTCCAAGCCGTTTTCCATGATTTCCTCATGCCTTTTTTTTTTTAAGTTTATCTGTTTATTTTTGACATGGAGAGAGCAGTCCCGAGCACATGTAAGTTGGGGAGGGACAGAGGAAGAAGGAGAGAGAGGATCCCAAGGAGGCTCCTCTGTGCCGTCAGATGTAGGGCTCAGTCTTATGAATCAGGATATCATGACCTGAGCCAAAATCAAGAGTGGGAGGTTTAACCACCTGAGCCATGTAGACAACCCTCCATGTCTGCGTTAGAGCCATTTCACTGGTTCATTTCTCTACTTGACAGATGGGAGAGGAGAAAGTTAGATACACTCTTTTCAGGAATACTATACTCTTGGCAACTCTGAGGTTAGTTGAGATGGGGGAGAAATCCTAATGTCAGGGGTGGGATGGCCCAAGATCATTGAGCTCATTCATTTTATAAATGACAAACTTGGTCTTCAGGGGAGCCACAGGTCCAAGTCATATGATCAGAGACAAACCTCTGAATCATAGAGGGGTCTTTTGTTATTTTCCATGTGACTTCTTGTCTGTAAGACTCTAAGATGCATCTTTCCCGGAGTTGGAGTTTCAGCACTCTTCCATTCTTCTCAGTAATGACAGAAAATGTGTTTCCAAACTTCTGGGCTTATTTCTTATTTTACAATATGATTTGTGTTACCACATACCTTCCAAAATACTTAAAGATGAATACTACTATATATGGTTGCAAAAGGAAGCTAAAATACCATGCCTATGAGTAAAACAAACAAAAAACAAAAACAAAAAAACAACCCCTCCCCCCAAAGAAACACCAGTTAAAACATTAGTGACTATAAACTACAATATTGCAAGTCCTGGATGGAGTCTCTAGCCAGCATTATCCTAAAGAAATTTCTGTAGTGATGAAAATGTTCCTTATTTGTGCTTTCCAGTATGGTAGCCAGGAGCCATATGTAGCTATCAAGCACATGAAATATGATTGTTTTAACTGAGGAGTTTGTAATTTTTTTAATTTAAATTAATTTAAAAAGCCACATATGACGAGTGGCTATCGTATTGGATAGCATGGCTGTATTCTAGACTCTTCTAGGAAGTTTTGCTGTGGTTTAAACTTTAATTTCTCAAAGAAAAAATAATGATAATTATAAAATTTTTATCCGTAAGACTGATTTTACACGCAGCATTCTTTCTAATAATAAAGCAATGGAAGAAAATAGGGTAAGATAGTGGATACCATGTAAATATAGTAGTATTGAACTAAGATAGACCCACCTACATCGTTTATGATCCTGGACAAATTACTTAGTCTCTGTGATACTCAGCTTTCTCATCTATAAAATTAAGTAAATAATGCAAATAAAAATTTAAACCACTTTACATTAAGCAAATTATGAAGAATCTGAAGACAAGAGAGGCTAAAATGAATTGCCTAGGGATGAACAGCTTTGAAGTGGATGGAGGAATTCAAATTCTTGTCTTCTGATTGTACCCATGTAGTTTTCATACACTGCGGGGCTCCACTTTTTGCAAAGCTTCACAAATGCAAGAAATACCACTTCCTCTACTTTTGAATCATTTTTTATTCATACTCATTCCGTTTTCCCTGAGGAAATTGAAGCACTTCCTTGGTGATAGATTTACTTAATTTTTCATCTGATTGATTTCTTAAAAACTTTACTCTTCACTGGTAACTGCCATCATCACATGTGTGTTCGTTTCAATTATAGTTCACAAATAGAGACCAATTTAGCCTTTTCCATTTGAGACAGCATTGCATTTCATCATGTAAGAAAGAAAATTAAAAATTCATAAAGGACAAGAATTGTGAACAATAGGCACGGGGAATAAAAAAATACTATTCTGTTTACTAAAACAACCACGCCAAACACATTTTAATTTAGTCATAATTGTCTGCAAATAGTTTCACTATGGGTAAAAAATGTGCAGTAGTTTTCATTTGCCCTGGGACTGTGCTAATTTCTCAGCTGAAATAATTTACACGTTTTTAAAAAAAATCCCTTAACTTTGGTTTTTGATGTTACTTCTAGCAAAGATTACGTCATTGTCTAAACATGAAATGAAACTCTACAGAACTTGACAATATGCCTATTGAATTTGAAAAATACTGAATTTCTCATTCCAAATGACAATGCCACAGAGGCTGCGTGCAGTTTCAAAACGAGCAATGATTAATTATCCCATGGGGACATGTTAAAGCATTTTCCCCTTCCACCAATTTGATTTCCAAGACTCCTGGGATAAATGATTCCACGCAAACTTTATCTCATATGGAGATATTAAAAAACTACTTGAATTTGTCCTATTTCAGAAAGCCTCAAAGATGGTGAAGCCTGAGAAAAATGCTTTTTGTTTCTTAACGTTCTGTGAAAGTTGCATTATTATTTGAAATATGACAGGGATGGTATATGCATCTTTTATGTACTAGAACAAACATGGACATTGCCTTGAACTGTTTTCACACCTATTCTATATATTTGTAAAGAAAAATATTTTTCTTTATTGTAAAATTAACCTGAAAACTGAAACATTTTTTTTTATTTTTTAATATATTTTTTTCAACGTTTATTTATTTTGGGGACAGAGAGAGACAGAGCATGAACGGGGGAGGGGCACAGAGAGAGAGGGAGACACAGAATCAGAAACAGGCTCCAGGCTCTGAGCCATCAGCCCAGAGCCAGACGCAGGGCTCGAACTCACGGACCGCGAGATCGTGACCTGGCTGAAGTCGGACGCTTAACCGACTGCGCCACCCAGGCGCCCCAAAACTGAAACATTTTAAAAGGCTATTTTAGGGGCACCTGGGTGGCTCAGTCGGTTGGCGTCCGACTTCGGCTCAGGTCATGATCTCTCGGTCCGTGAGTTTGAGCCCCGCGTCGGGCTCTCGGCTGACAGCTCAGAGCCTGGAGCCTGTTTCAGATTCTGTGTCTCCCTCTCTCTCTGACCTTCCCCCATTCATGCTCTGTCTCTCTCTGTCTCAAAAATGAATAAACGTTAAACATTTTTTTTAAATAAAAGGCTATTTTATTGTGGAATATTTAGCCTTAATGCTGAGTTCTGGGACCATAATTCATGTGCACAGTTATTGAAGCATCTTGATTTAAAATAGCAATGACTATATCTACTCTTATGCAGGAAAAAAAGCCTTGTCTAGACACTTTTTAGAAAACTGTTAACAAATGAAAATATGGCAAGAAAATGAGAAGTGAAAGAAAATGGTTACAGTGGACCCTCCTGACCCACCTTGATCCTGGCAGATCACGTTTACCATTTGAGGGCCATTCTTCCACCCTCACATTTGGTGCTTTGCTTCTCAGGTGTCCCCTGTACCCGTGACCCTCTTTGGAGAACTGCCTTTATGTTCCTGGAGCTGCTTTGTTCATATACACGGAGAACTAGAGTGGCGAAGGGATTTTTATCCCATAAGGGAGACCTTACAAGTGACTCGCAGCCACCTTGCCTTGACTTGAGACAAACTTCAGTAATTAAAACTCCAAAGCTCCCTGCTGCAAGATCAAAATTGCCTAAATTCCCACCCTTGCCTCTTTTTTCCCTTCCTTGCACTCCTTCTTGACTCCCTTATTTCTCCTGGGAGCACTTTCCAATCAATCTTTTGCACATGCATCTTTGAAAACTTAACCTTTGCTTAGGTCTAATGGCTTTCAAAGCATTTCATAAACATTATGTAATTAACCTGCCCAGATGGGCAGGTAAGCATTTGTATCCTTATGTGACAGATGAGGAAGCAAAGGCTCAGAGATTACATGACTTGCTCGGGTTCACACAGATGGTGAGATGGACTGCCAGCACAGTGGTCTATTGAGGATGTTCCTACCTCCAGAGCAGGAAAACATCACGTGATTCACTTGGCCTATGTGAACCTCCTTGCCTGTCACCCATGCACATACAGTTTAGGTTGCACCTGCTACACTTCATAAACCAAAACGGATCCCCTCTGAAAATAAAATTCCTTTTCTGCGTGATAAGGTGCTGGTTCACGTGTTTTATTTATTTGAAGATATCTATTACATAGATATCGTTTTGACTCTGTGCTTTTGAAGGGGCTCAGAATCTTCAGCATCAGCTTTCTTAAACGAAGTAAAAACAAGTTGTTTTGGAAACGATATTGCAAAATCCTTTCCAAAGAAGTGAGTCTGTTTTCCTATGGGAATAATAATTGAATTTATCAAAGAAAGGTTTTTCATATTCATATTTGAAGCTCAAAGCCTTTCTTATTCTCTACTCATGGGAAACAATATTTAGCATATGCTAACTCCTTTATAATTATAAACTCCTGGACAATATTGGAATTATAATCTATAGTAGCTAATGTGTATCATTTTCATGAGCCATTAATTAGATTTTTATGCACAATTTCCTTGTCTTTCAGGAAACATATTGACTATACACTTCTGTAGCCTCTGATTGCCAGTGTGTGACTTGGGCAGTAGCTTTTAAGAAAGCCATCCAATCTCTTACAAAAGTTAAAAGTCATATACTTTCCTCTTTGTGGAGAGAGGTATTATTTCTTGATTGTTTATGTTTTCCTTTTAGTGTTCACAAGCAGTCATTAGTTCCTTATAGATGTCATAGCTTCTAAATCACCCAAGTTTCAGTACCTCTAAGATAATAAGAACATTTATCTATAGCTCCCAGTTTTAAGATGGCAAATGACATGGTCTCTGTCTCCAAGCCACAGAAGCTGCATGAACAGTCCACTGCCATCTCATACCAGTGTGGCCTTCCTGTCTGATGGCTTTGCCATAGTCAATTCATAATGCAAGTGCTTTGGCCAGAGAGGCAATGGAAACAGAGCCTCAGTTAAGTTCCAGCTCCATTAGCTGGAAGTTTGTACTAAAAATAGATACAAAGGTAAAGAGAATGAACTGGTAATAACAATTAAAAAACAAAATCTCAACAAAGAAAAGCCCAGAACCATGTGGTTTCACTGGTGAATTTTATCAAACATTTAAAAATGCAGGAACACCAGAGGGGGAACAAACACTTCCTAACCCATTCTATGAGGCCAGCATTACCCTGATCCCAAAACCAGATAAAGACACCAGAAGAAAACTGTAGACAGATAACCATTTTTAATATCAATGCAAAAATCCTCAAGCAAATCCTAGCAAACTGAATCCAGCAGCCTATTAAGAGTATTATACATCAGGATCAAGTGGAATTTATCCCAAGAATTAAGAGTAATTCAATGTATGAAATCAATCAATGAATATTCCACATTAATAGAATGAAAGGAAAAAATAAAATGCGTGGTTATCTCAATTGATGCATAAAAATCACTTGACAAAATCCAATACTGTTTCATGATTAATAACAAAACAAAACAAAACAAAACACTCAAACCAGTAATAGGCGCCAACTTCTTGAATGTGGTAAAGGGCATTTATGAAAAACTCACAGCTAATAGTTTACACAAAGGCGAAAGGTCAAGTATAAGACGAATATGCTAATGCTGGAGGTTCTAGACAACACTTAGACAAGGTGCTAGTAATGAATGAACAGTTTGAAAACTGAAGTTAAGAAACAGTTGCATTTACAATGGCATATAATAATAGTAAATTTAACCAAGGAGGTGCATGACTTATAGTGAAAACTAAAAAACGTTGTTGATGAAAGTTAAAGAAGACCTAAGTAAATGGAGAGAAAGTTCATATTCATGTGTTGGAAGACTTAATATTGTTAAGATGGCATTTGTTACCCAAAGCACTCTACAGATTTAATGCAATCCCTATTAAAATCTCAATGGACATTTTTATATAAACTGACAAGCTGATACTAAAATTCACGTGGGGGCGCCTGGGTGGCTCACTTGGTTAAGCGTCTGACTTCAGCTCAGGTCATGATCTCCTGGTTCCTGAGCTTGAGCCCCATGGCGGGTTCTGCCCTGACAACTCAGAGCCTGGAGCCTGCTTTGGATTTTGTGTCTCCCTCTCTCTGCCCCTCCCCTGCTCGCTCTCGCTCTCTCTCTATCAAAAATAAATAAACATTAAATTTTTTTTTTAAATTCACATGGGATTGCAGGGCATCTCAAATAGCCAAAGCCATCTTGAAAAGGTAAAACAAAGTTAGGCAACTCACGCTTCCCAATTTCAAACCTTCCGATAAGCCAAAACAATCAGAACAGTATAATACTGGCAAGAGGACAGACATAGACAACTGGAGTAGAACTGAGAGTCTTGAAACAAACCCATAAGTCTGGGATCAATTGTTTTTCAACAAAGGTACTACTGTACCATTCTATAGGAAAAGAATAGTCTTTCAACAAAATTTCTGGGATAACTGGTTATCCACATGCAAAAGAATTCATTGGACCCTGTGTCACTCCCTATATAAAAACTAACTCAGAAGGAATCAGGGGTGTCTGGGTGGTTCAGTCAGTCAAGCCTCTGACTTCGGGTCAGGTCATGATCTCACTGTTCATGGGTTTGAGTCCCATGTCAGGCTCTGTGCTGACAGCTCAGAGCCTGGAGCCTACCTCAGATTCTGTGTCTCCCTCTCTCTGCCCCTCCCCGACTCATGCTCTCTCTCTCTCTCTCTTTCTCAAAAATAAACATTAAAAACAATTTTTTTAATAAAAAAAAGGAGTCAAAGACCTAAATGTAAGTACTAAAGTCTTAGTAGAAAACATAGGTGTAAATCTTCATGGAATTTGACAATGAATTCTTAGATAAGATTCCAAAAGAACCAGGAATAAAAGAAAAAAGATATATTTTATAAAATTATCTTTCAAAATTTAAAAAAATGTATATTCATCAAAGGATACTACCAAGAAGGTCAAAAGACTACCTACTGAATGGGAGAAAATATCTGCAAACCATGTATCTGATAAGGATCTAGTAACTTGCATATAAGGAACTCTTACAAGTCAATAACTAAAAGGTAAACAACCCAACTGAATCTCCACACACTTCTCTAAAAAGGTTATAAAAATGGCCGAAAGCACATGAAAATATGTCAACGTTGTTAGTCATTAGGGAAAGGCAAATCACAACCACAATGATATTTCACTTTGCCCCCACTGGAGTGGCTGTAATTAAAACACCACCACCACCACCTGAAATAAGGAGTGTTGCTGAGTGTGTACAGACATTGGAACACTCACATATTGCTTGGAGAAATGTACGTTGATACAGCCACTGTGGAAAATAATTTGCTAATCACTGTATGATCCAGAAATTCCACTCCAAGTTATATACTCAAAAGAACTGATAATAGATGTTTAAAAAACTTGTATAGGAATGTTCACTGTAGCACTATTCCCAACCACCAAAAGGGGGAAAGAACCCAAATGTCCATCAACTGTGAGAAACCAGGCACAAAGGGTCACATACTGCATGATTCCACTCGTGTAAAATATCCAGAATAACTAAATCCCTGGAGACTCAAAAGAGTAGGGTTTACAGAGGCCAAACAGAGTGGGTAATGGGGAGAAACTGCTCAGTGGGTATGAGGTTTCCCTTTGGCATGGTGACAATATTTTGGAACTAGATATGGGTAATCATTACACAACATTGTGAGTGTACTAAATTCCACTGAACTGCACTCTAAAATGGTTGATTTTGTGTTATGTAAATATTACCTCAATGAAAAAAACAGTTTATCACAGAATTCAAAATAGCTCCCAAGATCCCCACCTCCTCGTGTGCATACCATGTGTGATCTCCTCCCCTTCAGTGGTAGCAGAACCTGTGAATGTGATGAAATGTCACACCCATGATTAGTTGACGTGGGTGAGGAATTCTACACACGTAATTAAAGTCTCCAATTAGTTGATTTTGAGTTAATCGTATAGGAGATTATACTGGGTGGGTCAGACCTAATTGGATGAGCCATTCAAAAAGACAAGTTGCTGGAGATGTTCCCCTATGAGTCTTGAAGGAGTGTGCTACCAGGTTTTAAGAGGAGAGCGCCATGGCTAAGGACAGGAGGATGGACTTTAGGAGCTGAGAGTGGACCCTCACCTAAAGCTAGCAAGAAAATGCAGACCTCGGTTTTATAGATCTCGGGAAATGAATTCTGCCAACCACCTGCGGGCTGGGAAGAGAGTCCTGAGCCTCAGAGTAGATAGCTGGTCTAGCCAATGTCTTGATTTCAGCCCAGTGAGGCCATGAGCCAGAGGCACCAGCTAAGCTATGCTTGGAGTCCTACCCATGTAACTGTGAGATAATGAATTTGTGTCGTTTTAAGCTGCTTACTTTGTAGTAATTTGTCACACAGCAATAGAAAACTAAGATGGATAGAGAGATTTCATTGCAGCAAAGTTCTCTAATACATTCTGACCCTGTATAAAATCTCCAAAAGACTAGGGAAATCTACCAGAACTTGATTAAAACACACGCGTGCACGTGCGCACACACATACACACACACACACACACACACACACACACACACACACACCCCTAATCACAGTATTTACATCCAGATGCCAAGTGGGAAAGGAAACTGAGTACCACCTGGGCTCTGCTACTGCTGTGACTGCTCTAAATCTATTTACATGTGGCTGAATGGGGATAGACCGCGAGATCTTTCAAATGTATGTCTTAAATACTTATGCTTATCTTCATAGCTATCTACCTTTTGTAGTCCAGGTCTTAAATATTAATATTTATATTCCTTTTAAAAAAGAATATTTTCTTCTTGCCGTAGAAGATGGAGAAAGTCTTTCTCTTGCATACTGTTTGATAGTCGTCCCTTCACTTTATTTGAGTGCATATAATTTGAGGCAGTGGTAGAGGGGCAAAGGTTTTGGGGCTGTTGTTGTTTTAAATTTGCCGAGTAGCCGGAGTCAGAATTTCTCCCCACACATTCACTGAATGTCAGGCACCTGTAGACATCTTGTTCCCAGCTTTATTTCCCCCCCACCCCAACCAGGAGACGTCCTGATACTCCTCTTCCATGGAAATAACGCAATTATTGCAGCTTATCTTTCCTGTTTAAGGAGCCCAGGGAAATTGTTTTTTTCTTAATTTCTTGCAGCTTATTTTTTCCCCGGGTGACATCAAGAGGGCATTATCTCACTCACTGTCAATTATTTTCAGCCCTAGCTTTCCTTGTGCACACAGCTACTACTCCACCAAAGTGGAACAGACGCTAATGGCCATGTGCTCCACCCTCAGCCAAGTATCTGGCCGTGGCCACTAATAAAACCATCTGTTACCAGGGTGAGTCCATAGCCTGTCACTGCTGTAATTTGGGGCGGTGCAGACTTTCCAGACTTCTCTGTTATTAGAGGGCCAATGGGGCCCCTGAGGCCTAGAGCAACTGTGTACATAATTACATGAAAGACTGTGATGGCTTTTCCATTCACACTGGGTGATCTTAGAGCAGGCTAATACTGTCGTTAGATCACTAAACCTGAAGGGTGAGCTGAGGACAACCAGGGCTGGAACGCTTAAACTGAATCATCAGATTCTTTGTTTTTTGCACTTTTTGTTTTAAGTTAGAATCGTAAACAAACTGTTGGATACAATACTCAACACACGATGGATACAGACTCAGAGAGTATGGACTAACAAACCGAGCCTTAATAAAAACCTGAAAAGGAAGGAATGCGTGTGTTGGGGGCACTCACAATTTGTCCCTGTTTCATAGTCACTATTTCACTTAGTTACCGTGACATTATGTGATACGAGACAATAATTTCCTAGTCTTCAGAGGAAGCTCAGACAAACCGGGGTAGGTAAGATCACACAGTAATGGCAAGTGGCGGAACTGGGTTCAAATACAGGCTTCTGGGATGCCGAACTCTTTGCCCTTTTCTTTGACATTCCGGAGTGAGCAGCAGTAACAGCTTCACAGGTGATCACTTTTTTTAAATGTGATCATTACACATGGGTTATTCTCCCTTCCATTCTATTCTACCATGCTCAGAGTCCTGAGAGATTAAAAAAATAATAATAATAAGGAAATGCGTTAGCCTGGTTTCTAAGTATACAACTGTACCCCTGGGTATGGCTTCCGCTCGGAATCCCTTTGCTCCCTCGGTGTGGTGGTCTGAGCGGGACAACCTAGAGGTCATTCTTTCCTTTAAGCCTCACCTGCAACCTCTCAATCTCCATCCACTCTTTTCTATCCTCTGAGTGGCAGTCTGGCCCCTCTAGCTCTCCAGAAAAGAGATGCCTCAGGGGTATCCACTGGCCTTATTAGAGCAGAACTTCCCAGTAGTCTAAACTGCACTCTCTTCTCCCAGTTTTAGCTCTGGTTTAAAATTTCCCATTTTGTCTCACTTACCTCTCATCCCCACACTCCTGCTTCCCTAATCTGGCCGGTTGCACCTCAAGGTAGAGAACGGGAAAGGGGAGATGGGGGGCTTCCTCTGTCAGCCAAAGAAACAGTCTTCCCCATATGTACTCTTTGCATTGTTTTTCTTGGTTATATAATCAGCGTTTTCTGTTGTTTTGTATGTGTGTGCTTTTGAAAATATCCCCAGTTATTCTTTGTTCCTCTCTCCACGTCTTCTTCCATGTCATGTCATCGGTCTTGTTATTTTCTAAGACTAACTGCTCAGTGCTTGGGACAGTGACCAAAAAAGCCTATAGAATTTTCATGACTGATTTTACTCCATCCCAATGAGATATTACAGGGGAGTAGACATGCTACTTCCCATGTGACAGAATTTGAAGATTAAAAGATCTAGAAATCAGTGACTTGTTCTGCCAGTGGTTCCATGACCTTATAATAATAGATGGAAACTCTTTTTGGATTTCAGCAACCTGGTCAAGCTGTTTTTAAGCTTCCCACAGCCTGCTGTGTTTCTTTAATGATGTGTCTATCTTTTGCTA